TAATTAATGTTTAAATTCATTAAATCAACTTATAAGAAAAATCAAGTGACTAATAAAAATGTCATTAAAGTCAACTTAGGTTGTAATGCATGCTAATTCATGACTAATCATTCTATAATATTGGTATAATTAATGTTTAAAAAATTTTAAATATTTATTTTAATATTTTCAAAGTTTCTTGTTGTCCAAAATTTCAAAACATGGACTCAAGTGCCAATAAATTAGAAGATATTTTTCACATTTATCCCTTGAACTCATATAGCTTTAGCAATTTACCCTCTGAACTTTTAATTTGTCATGTTGCCCCCTTAACTTGTAAAATTGTCGTATTATATGCCTCATTTTGATGATGATTTTGTTAAACCTGTGTTGAAAATACACGTTCGATGAAAAATTCCAACATCTCAATTTTTTTTGAATGGGACTAACATCACAATTTAAATGTAACACAAATTTTTAAAATTTTCAACTTTTAATCCCTTAAATCTAATAAAAAACTTAAACAAATTTAATAAAACGGAGCATATTTTTTTTGTTAATATAGTAAAACAGAGCACGTTACAACAATGTTATATTTTAAGGAGTTAATTATCAAAATTGAAAGTTTGTAGTGCAATTTGTTAAAACCACAATAAATTCGAAAGCAATTGTGTTAAAAATCTAAATAGAAATTTGGGGCCCATCCATTGGTATCCTACGGTATAAGAATATCCTTCTGGTATATTAATCGGATGTTTTCAGTTATTAAGAATGAGGAGTTTTCTGCTTTAGAAGGTCTTCTTGTTGGGGATGTTTGTTCTATGATACCATTGATGTTTCTTATGGCGACGTTTCTTTCATTTCTACTTTCTAGAAAAGACTTATGTTTAAGTATTTATCTTGTTGGGATATTTACATTTTTATGTCTTATATTTTGGTGTTATTTAAAAAGGATACCTTTAGTTTTTAATCTTTTTAAATATATACCATCAGATTACATTTAATATATAAATTTATACTTTTTCTTAATCAACATTAAATTTTAAACTAGCGGCAAAGAAGAGGATCACGACGGAACGTGTCAAGAGGTGGAGAGGACAACGGTCGCGAGAGGAAGAGGACAATTGCGTCAAAACTTGAGGGAGGTTCTTGTTGCTTACGATGGTGGAAAGGGTGAAGAGGGTGGTTAGGTTTGTCTTTCTAAATAAACATAAATGGAGGGTTCAAATCAGATTCGTTCAAACTAATGGTTGAAATTCAATAGGTATTAATTTCTTACTAATATTTTTCCATAATAAGTATTATATAGTAAAATGTAATTTTTAATTTTAATGGTGTGTCACGTCAATTATAGATGAAAATAGATTAAGGGGTATATTAAACCATTTCTTATATATCAATGAGTGTTTTGAATCATCTTGATAAATCAATGAACACTTTAAAATAGAGTACATAATTCGGATGATATTTATGAAAATAATTTTTTTTAATCATTTTTTCCCTTTGTTTCTCCCTCAAATAAAATCAAAGCTAAGTAATTGATACGGCGTCGTAGTTAGTTGTAATGCCAGCCAGCGTAGAATAGCTCTTTTATGTATCAGGTATTCGTTGCCCAAAAAGATCACAGCTCAGCGAAACAGAAAAAGTATAAACACGGAATCGAAATGGCGCTAAAGTCAGATAAGAATAAAACCTCTGTTCTCTTTATTAAAAAAATAAATAAATATATTGAAGAACCTGTGGGGGAAAAAAGAAAAAAAAAAATAAGTGAAAGATGTGCAAAAGCATGTCATCTGACAATCAAAATTTGCATTTCTCGTGATTTCTCACAAAGAAGGGGGCCAATTCCATAAAACGAAAGACTTGACAAATTAGTCCATGAATTATGAGTATTCTTGCATTTTGGTCTCTAGACTTTTTATTTGGACAAATTACTTCCTAAATTTTTATTTTTTTAACAGTTTGAGTTATTTACAGTAAAATTAGTAGTGATTTCTAAAATTTTAAAAAAGTAATTATGTGTCTAACTCAAAATTTTGTATAAATAAGTACATTATGTACAAAATATTTGTTGGTATCTAAAACGATTTTGGACGTAGAAGCATGTGCCTAGCGGATCGTGTACAACAAAAATTTTTATAAAATTTTTGTAATACTCTAGAGAATATATTAATTTATACGCGAATAAACTAATGTAATTAATTTATTTACCTAGTGAACTATTAGGTCGATAACTTGAGTTCTTTGATCACAAACAATCCTCACTCCAAACATTATAGGAAAATCTGAATCTTTTTCGTCTAGTCCTTGATACCTGCAAGACCTAGAGTGTGGGCTTTAATTTTAGAATTATAGGATTGATCACTCACTAATTTTCTCTTCCACCAATATCACACACATGTATGAGGCGGAACCGCGAATAGAATAACTTTTTTTCTCTTTTTCTCTCAGGTTACACGACTACCACTAAAATGTTACACGTTGTCTAACAGAATGTTACACACCCGTAACACTTATGTTACACGCCTATCACATAAGGGAAGGGAGAAAAAATTGTGCTATCCAATTTTCTATTGTCTCCTATTTGTAGAATACTAGGAGGGCTCATCTACTTTTTTTTAAGGCAAATCAATTGATAATTGGTTACCACTTTATTTTAAAACTTGCCAAACAAGTAAACCAGATTTCTTGGAGAGAGCAACTGAATCTCAGAGGGATTCTTCTTGTGCCACATGCACTTCCCTACGTTATGCGTGTGACCTCTTGTGGTCTCACCATGTGTTCTAAAATTAATTAATTTAAATAATTTCATTATTTATTTTGAGTGATATTAATTTTCAATAATTCACATTGTCTTGCAAATATAGAATACTAAGAGAACCCCTTTGCTTTTTCTTGAAGGCAAAACAATAGATAATTGGTTACCACTTTATTTTAAATCTCATTTAAAAGTATAGTTTCCCATTTAATTTTCGAAACAAAGTTCTCTCTTTCCTTATCTCTATATAGCTAGCCCACCACAGGGATATCTCCCTATGTTTGGCGTATACTTTTGCCATAAAAAGGAGATAACTTTCTCTTTTTATCCAGTTCTAATTTTGACTCAAATTCAAATATAGATAAAGTCAAACTTTAATTTTCTTTTGAATTTAATTAGAAAACTTGTCAAACAAGTAAACCGAATTCTTAGGAGAGAAAACAACTGAATCCTAGAAGGATCACGCCCACGCCCCTGTACCTTCCTATACTGGGCGTGTGGCATTTTGTGGTCCCACCACAATATGTTTTAAAATTAATTAATTTAAATAATTACATTATTTATTTCAAGTGATATAAATTCTCAATAATTTACCTTGTCTTGCAAATATTACAAGGATGACACGGTGACTCATGGACCTATAATTCATAGCTCTAGTAAAATTAATAATTAATTAAATCCCTTTAATTAATTAATTAATTAATTCTATTAATTCTAATAGTTACTCCACTAAAAACTTAGAATCCCACTCTCAAAATTACAAACATAATTTACTTCTAAGAGCTTGAAGTGTCCATTTGATATAATCACTACATATAGATTGATCATTTATAAATAATTCATAATTAGAGTTAGGTGAAATCCTTTAATCTCTCTAATTACATCTTTATCCTTAAGTATCATTCATTCTCTAATGGATAGTGATTCATAAACCAAATTCATAAATCAGAGCTCTTACTAATCCAAGTATTAAATCAACCCTCAAGGAAATTATTTATCTACTTCTTTATTCAAGAAGGAATATATTTCATCTCGCATATCGGCATTCCCGGCTACACACTTTATTATGTCTCCAAGATACAAGGAATAAGATTTTTACAATCTCGAAATCTGTACCGAATAAGTCAAAATACACAAATCCATAAATAATAGTCTACTAATAACTCAAGATTAAGATCGTTCTATATATGACTATCGGTAGACTCAATTCAAATTTTTATACTTAATGAAAATTATCAGAAATACAAACCGTGTATGTGTCTCAGTTCCACATAATCACATTATGTGTAACGCACTTATCCAATATCCCTCTAAATTAACAATGCGGATAACACTGTTTCATTTTTAATAGGAATGACATGGATTAGTAATGTTTTAATTAAAGATTTCAAAACATCAATTAAATTCATTACGAACACATTTTGATTATTATCTTTAAAATTTTATCCTCTCGTATATAACTCTTATATACAATATTTAATGTTACATAAATAATCACGAAATTTTCAATGATATTCGCATAATATTTCATAATATATACACGTAAATAATGAAATTTCTCTTTTATTATATAAATAATATCATTCATTACATTCTATACTTTTAGGACACCATTCTTAACAATATTTTATTAACTATTTTTTCTTTTGAGAAAATTTTATTCACTATTGTTAGGAACCACCTAAAAGCTTTTCCCAAAAAGAAAAAAAAAACCATTAAGAACTAGAACATTTTGCAATTGATATAATTATTTATAAGAAATTTTTAGTTATTAAAGAATAGGGATGCAATTATTTATGTTAATTTAAGTGTTAGAGAGTGAATATATAAACATATATATATATATATAATAGGTTTCTTAAGTCATTTGCCAAGATCCTTAAAAAAAAAAAAAAAAGTCATTTGTCAAGATTAAAAATTCAATGACGAAAGTTTCACAATACCTATCTAAGTTTTAGGGACTAAAATTATAAAAAATAGAACTATTTAAAGTCATTTGTCAACATTTAAAATTCAACGACGAAAGTTTCCGAATACCTATAATTGAAGGACCAATAGCGGTAATAACTTTTTTTTTTTCAATGAAAAACTCTTTTTCCCCTGAGGTCTAAAAAGTCATGGCAATGGCATGTCGATGGCAAATTGCTTATATAATCAGACGAGAATCCCAATCGTGAGTGTTGCTCTCTCTCTCTCTCTCTCTACTTAGCCCCACACAGCAAAATCTCTCTCTCTCTCTACTTAGCCCACACAGCAAAATCTCTCTCTCTCTCTCTCTCTCTCTCTCTCTCTCTCCCTCTCTCTCTCTCTCTAATCTGTTTTGGTTGACGAATTTTCGTTTTGGTTTGGAATTTTGTTCTCACCTTCGGTAATCCAATACCAGAAGTTTCTGTAGCTTGCATATTCTTCTCTCATGGAGGATCGCAAGGAGGTTCGTCTCTCACTCTCTCTCTCTCTCTCTCTCTTTGTGATTGTGATTTCTCTGTTGCTCTTTACTGTGTAAATTAGCTGAGCCGAGAAATTAATGTGTATGTCTTTGTGAATTTTCGCGTTCGGTGCCGATCGTTTCGGCTTTCGAAAGTACTGGAAAAGAGAGTTTTTATTGTTTTAATGGAGTATTCGAGTAGATTTTTTTTGACTTCGATTTGAGTTGTGGTTAACGTTTCTATACATTTCTCTTTATCTCTTTCTTGTGTCTGCTTTCAATTTTCCGAGTAACCAAACAAGAAACGGAGTTTCTTTTTAGGTTTTCTTATTTTCTTACGGATTCTTTGCTTAGTTCCAATAGGTTTTTCTTAGAACTGTCCTATAATTAAGTGATTGGCTTAAATCCAAGAGTGTTTTAGATATTTTTATCTCAATACTGTTGATCAATTCGCTCTGAAGTTCAGATTCCTCTTTCTTTCTCCTTTTTCTTAGTTTAACCTTGGTGGAGGCAGTCAAGAAGTAATCATGCTAGTTAATTTTTCCAGAGCTGAGAAACAGTCAAAGTTGTCTCCTTTTTCGTCTTTAAACAAGTTTGGCAATGAACAATTTGTGGACCGTTGAATACTCTTCTGTAGAATGGATAACATTCAAAGTTGGATAACGTCATTGTAAAGAAAAAAAAAAGTCTCTGGGAGGAAAAATGTAAAACTCAAGATTGGACCAATCGCAAATTTCATGAACCTGGAGCCCTGAATTGGTTTTCCCTTTTCAGTTTGCTAAAGGTTCATTCGTCCATAGAAACTTTTTAAAAAAATAAAGAAAAAAATAAACGGTCCTGAGTTCTTTAAGGGTTATTTGGTACATATACTTAAAACTCAAACTATGATTCTGCTATTGCTATAGTGTTTTCCTCTCACAAAGAATTTGAATTAAAATAATTCCCCTTAATAGTTCTCTCAAAAAATTTGAATCAAAACCCAAATGATGGGTCAAATACACCTCCCAAACGGGCGCTTAACTTCTTTTATACTATTGTTTACGAATCTCACTTCAGACAAGTTGTAGGTGGAAACTTTTAAATAGTGGTGTTATTTATTGGGTTTTCATGGCTCTCGCTAATCTCAGGATACTAGTTTAAACAAATAGTAGTGGCTCCTAAATTACTTTTTTCTTGGAAATTTCAAATGTGTTTTTTCGTATAAACAGTGAATTTTATGCTCCGAACAGCTAGTGATATAAGTTATTAAAAATAGAAAATAAAACAACTGTTTGTTAGTCAAGTAATTGTATACGAATTTTTTGCCGAGAAAATAAAAACTGATTGTATAAGAATTAAATAGCGCACATTTCACAGGTCCTACAATCTTGAGTTTTTAACTTTGTATGTCCTTGTCTCTCTCTTTTCGTTTTCTCTGTACATTGGAGATACAATCTTGAGTTTTTAACTTTGTATGTCCTTGCTGTACATTGTAGTTTGTCGAAGTGATATCTGGGCTACATCATCTTAAATAATTTGAAAAGCTTCATTAAAAGCTGAAGCGGGCATTGATGCTTTTGTAGTTCTAGTTTTGTTTTCCAAAAAACTTCTTTTTTTTTTTTTTTTTTTTTTTTTTTTTGGGGGGG